GGTTCCCTTCGGGGGCTCCTGCTGCTAGAAGGCCTTTGATACTGCCTACAGCGCTGTAGAAATGCGGGGCACCCAGGCGTAGCGTTAAAACCCGGGGAGCTAGTCTGGGTCGGTGGGAACTGCCGTGTTACTCTAGTAGAAACGTGCTTGTGGGTATGTTGTCTGAAAAATACTTAACTTGGGCAGGGAAAAAGAAAAGCTTCCTAAACCCGCTATATGAACAAAGCTTTATATACTCAAGCAGCTGTGGTTTAAAGCCAAATAAACTTTATGTAGAAAGCTAGTTCTCTGTAGTGTTATTTTAGAAGTGTATCTACTCACAGTGAATTGAAATACACAGCTCTCTTAACTGAGAGTTTCGAGTGGGCTGTGTTTGTTCTGCTTCCAGTGCTGAACAACTTTGCTTGGAAACCTGTGGCATACTGTCCGCTTCATGTTGAGACCTCCTTTATTACCGTGCCTATACTATCACTTGCAAACTTTCTTTCATTAGTGCTAACCTGGTAACTGTGTTTTAACACTGCCTATCATCTAAGCTATCCGTGGCTTGTTCTGGAGCCTTGATCCTGGGTGAAGTTTGAAGACTGCCCTTAGTTGTCACTACCTTGAAGTCTCCATTCTAGCCAGACATCATTGTGATTTACCTCAAATTGAATGCTTAAGAGATGCAGTAGTTCTGGGCATTATGGTGATCATTTGCAGACTGTAGCATTTGTGTTGTCTTTTTCTTGCAGAAACGCAAATGGCTTTTCCTTCAAAGAAACAATGCATCAGCAAAACAGCAGATCTAGAGTTCAACAAAGATCCCAATTTTAACTTTAGCTCAAACATTCCAGCAGATGGTGTCTTCAAAGCTGCAAACCAAGGGTAAATGAAAGTAAAATATTGATGGATTTATTACTTGGCAAGTGTCCTAAATATGACTTAGCATTTTGCAGATTTTGTCAAACTAACAGACTCATTAATCTGCAAGAATGCAGTCGTCTTCTGGTAATTGTATTTTATCTGTGTTTTAAGGTTGCCTAAATCTGCCAAGAAAGTGGAACCGCCTTCAAAGAAGACAGCTACGAGAGGGTACGTTTCCTCAAATTTCTGTTAGGTGCCCTCGTGCAGTAATGCTCCCTCTTGGAGGGTTATGATGAGCTCTCACCCATGCATAGCTTGCTGGCCAAGTTTGCTGATCAAAGCTTTTGGTCAGAAACAAGAGCAAATGCTTAAAAAAAGGGTGTGTTTGAGGAAGTAAAAGAGGAGGTGTGCAATACTGATATTTTTGCCCCTAAATATTTGATGTTTGACTCTACAGACCTCTTAACAGATACAAACTAGAAGCAGAGCTGAAGACCAAGAATCAGCTGTTAGAAACAGCCAAACAGCAACTACACTCCAGACTAACAGGAGCACAGGTAAGGAAAGGGGTGGGGGGTGAATCATTGAGTAATTCTTGTATTTTGATCCCTACAGGGTCAGATCAAAGGATTGAGTTTGATAGGTCAGTAGAGTTTGGGTGGGCTGTTTTTTTCTCCTCTGACCCCGTGATATCTGCTAGAACCTGGAAATCAGCAGAGCTGCAGATGGATTTGGACAGATAATGCATCCAGATCACTCTTAAATAGTCATCAGAGATCTAATTCCATTTTAAACTCATTGTGGGAGAACATTTCAAGTTCACACCTATACATTCACATGAAATTTTATTAAAACAGCCTCAATATTGCCAGATGCTTCCTAGCTACGTCAAGAGAGCTTGCAAATAATCACTTGCCACTGATGGTTTGAGGTCTATTAATTCTTTTTCTTCCATAGCTCTGAACATACAGTAGGCAAGCTATCCAATTTCCTTGTTCCTTTCGCCCAGTCTCTCCTAGCTTTGCTAACCCATCACGTAGTGTGCTGTGAAAGTATGTACATCATTGAAGGTGTGGGTTCAGGAATGTGCGTGGTCTCATTTTACTAATGAAGAACACTTTATTTGGATTTTGGTTGCTGCTGTGCACTAAGTTTGAGGGACAGTGACCTCATTCTCTTCTGAGTATTTAACACAGAGCTCCGTTTATATAAGCTTATGTTTCTTCATGTGCTAGTGTGTCATATTGTGGCCTAATCTTTTAGTGTCTTTGTATTCTTCTGCAAGTTTTTTCCCATCTGCTCAGCACTGGTGAGGCCAAACTTGGAGTATTGTGTCCTGTTCTGGGCTCCTGGTACAAGAGAGACACAGGCATACTGGAGAGAGTCCAGCAAAGGGCCACTAAGATGATTAAGGGACTGGAGGAAAGGCTGAGAGAGCTGGGAATCCTCAGTGGATTCTGTTTCAAACAGATTTGACTTTCTTGAATAAAGCTGAGTTTCAGAATTAGCACCTTGTTATTCACCACCTCTTAGAGATTCACTCTAGGATGTACTTGGCACAGTATGTCATGTGCAAGAGGCCCTGCTGGTAACCTCCAGTTGTAAAAGCTCACTTTATTTCCTAGTTCTCAAGCAGTTACTAATCTGTGAGATGATCATTCCTTTTATCTCACAGTTTGATTTCTTTAAGAGCCTTTGAGACCTCCTATGAAACGTTCAAAAAGCTTCTGACACGATCAGCTGGATCACCCTAATCCACATGCTTATTGATTCTCTTGGAGAATTGCATTCAACTTGTGAGGTTGATCAGCTTATCCGATTGCCTGGTAATATCTGAACTGTGTAGGG